TTTTTTTAAAAAAATCTAACCAGACCATTAGTCACTACCTAATTATCTATTTTATTGGTGACTCTGGGTTTTCCTTAGTTTGATAAGGTTACTTTCCTTCCCTGGCCAACAACATCCAAGAGAATTAGGAGACAGGAAAACAGTATCATAAAAATAAATGAGGAAACACCATCTCCTTATAACTGAACTTTACTTCAGCCAAGTCTTCTTAATGCACTCGGTTAAGTTTGACGGATTTAAAAATATTTAAAACAAGGCAGTGTCTGCAAACAAGGTAGAATTCGCTTGATGAAAAAAAGAGCGTAACTTTTCTAAGTCAACAAAGAGAACTTTGCTCCAACCTCCTTTTCAAAACCCTGGTTAGTGTACAAACAGCACATGCCAAAGCGGAAGCTTTTAAAACATTTATTAGAAGGGGATTTCTTGAGCCATGATATCAGTGTGTTGGAAGGGGGACGCTTTGCTACAAGAAAGAGCTGATTCGATCAAACTGTCCAGGGTTACGTCCAGAAAGAAAACGGAGCTCCATCCGACCCTCGCTGGTGCTGGCTATTTCAGCATGGAGACGATTTAATATAAGAGAAAGAAAAAGGGTTAGGTTAGGAATGGCTCCTGAATAAACACAGAAAATATCATCTTACAAGCCTGTGGCTTTGTACAGAGGTGAACAAATCTGTTTTTTAGCGCTCTACCCTTTTCATGGGGCAGGAAACCAAAAGGGAACAAACGGATTGCTTGGCTCGGAAAAGAACTAAATTCACCTTTTTCATGTTGCAGCCACTTGCGTTCCAGATAATACTGATAACAGCTCTCAAACTCCAGATCTGTGTAGTTGGAAACCTGGATAGGAACAAAAGGATCCAGGGCGGCGAAGCCTTTCTGGAGTTCGGAAAAGAATGGGAAAAGTGAGAATGACTGAATGCCCTGAGATCAGATAGTTGAGATTCTCTCAGCTCGTCCAAGAGAATGAGTGGAATTAACTTGAATGGGAAACCCACGTTGTTTGACTACAACAGTCGCTCCTTCTGAACATTAACCAGGCCAATTAGGGTGATGAGAGTTGGGCTCTGTTAAGAGCTGGTTGCCAACTCACCCCTTTGCCACCATGAAGGCAAACCAGCCCAACTCACCTGTCCCAGCAATTCATGGGGCAAGTAAAGTCGGCGGGGTGTGAAGGGTGATCCTGTTTGGCTGAGAGTGACCACGATGGCCCCGCCTGTCTGAAAACACATAGAAAACAACACGTCAGGGCCGCAAGCCCACCCATGGTCAGCCTCCTAAAAGCTGCAGCGTCTCCCTTGGCTCTGCATTGCCTTAGCAGCCTGGTAGGAAGACACTATCCCCCAAAATGTAGGCCTTCTCCTCACCCAATCGTTGGCCACCATCTTCCTTAGATGGTGTAACAGTGTCAGCTCCTCCACAGAGACCTGAAGAGGAACAGAGAGAAAAATCCCACATATTCAGCAAGATGGTAACTTTGGAAAAAGACACTACGCCACTCTCGTGAAGGACTCCACCCTAAAGTCTGGGAGGCTGCAGAGGGTGGATGTTGAGAGTGGCAGACCAGGATAAAAAGGGGGAGGTGAGGGGAAGAGCCTTAATTCTCCAAGCAGCGGTAGAAACCATGTCTGTTTGCTGCAGTATATTGGTTAGACATTCACCCCCAAACTCACGCTGTCATCACTTCAATGTTCAACCCAGAAAGCTGATTGCTGTTTAAAATGTTTCGACCTAACCAAGTGGGCCTTCCAGCAATTCCTGGATCACAACTTCCAGCAGCCTTGGCCAATATGGGAAGAGATCCTGGGCTCTGTAGTTGAGCATCACCTGGAAGGCTCCAGATTCTCCACCTTGTGCTACTAAGGTTACTGGTGTGCCCGGGGAATCATGGCCTAGCCATACTTAAACCAAACGTCACTTAAGGTGATATACAGGCCACGTCAACAAGGGAACCTACATTCTGCCTGTTTTTTTCCAATGTTGTCCTTCCCCAAAGAGTGTTGATTCCATCCACAGCCACAAGCATTCGGAAAGATCCCTGGCAACACTGCTGCTTCAGCTCTTTCAAGATCACCCCGACGGTATCGCTGGCATATTTCACCCAAGCCAATCCCTAAGGAGGAAGAAGAGAAACGGGCTGGCCATCTTGCCACCTAGCATAACTGTGCTACAAACCCGTGCCTCCATTGTTTCTGGGATGACGATGAAATCCCACTTTCATTTTGTAGAACTCAAGGTGGCTTCCATAATGCCTCCGCCTCCTGTTTTCCCCACCACCAAGGCCTTGTGATATGGGCTTGATGTAATTCAACAGTCATAGTAAATGAATTCCACGATTCCTCCAGTTTTAATGTACACCTCACCTTCTCAGTCAAGTCTATCAGAGGACAGCCTTCTTCTGTGACATCTCGCTTGCCCCACGTGTACCTCTGTTGTGTTTTGATCTGCAGTGCAGAGAGACAATTGAAAAAAGTCTCACTAAATGAAATGGAAACGTCTGATTATGAAGCAACTCAGGTTGGAGGTAGGGTTGCTATTGGGAAGCCCACAAGCAGGACGTGAAAAACAAAAGATATCCAGAAATACCTGGAGGCTCCATTATAGTTTTCCAAAAAGAAGCTGACAGAATAAAACAATCTTAGGGCAGAAGTAGAAGGAATCTTCTTTTTTTTTGCCACATCAAATCACAGAATGAAAGGGACCTTACATTTTTTGGGGGGGAAAATCCACTAAATTTAGATACCTGATCACTCTGCTTCTTGAGGAGAAGGTGGTTTGTTTGTTTTTTTTGGTTTTTTTGCTCCGATAAAAGTCAGAAATGAAGAAAGGAAGAATGTGAGTTTAAGATTACAGATGTATTACAAAAAGTTTCTGTTAGGAAAATGCCCCTTTGGGTTGTGAAAGGAGGTGGGGATATAATCAGGCTCCATGTAATAAACGGGAAGTGAAGAGTGGGAGTTTCCTCTCTCGCTTCCAAAAGCTTAACAGAGTTGCTGCCAACCTGGGTCAAAATCTGTTTGTTGGTGATTCTGAAATTCTTCAGCCAGTCTGCAGCTTCAATTGGCTGGTCGAACCGCTCGTTGTTGTAGGAAGATGGCAGCAATTCTTTACAATTCTTCACCCAGAGGTGAGCTGTAGCAGAAAGAGATAGACAGACCGTGGGGCCAAGAAACACCCCAAGTGTCTGATTCCAATATCAGAGGTCCATCTTCTGCCACACGTCGGCAGAAAAGACACCGATCCTGTTGAAGCATCGACAAATGAAATGGCCTTCTTTTTAAGAAATCTTCCCCTGGGCTTCGTAAGGATTCTGTTCTCAAGGATACTTCCCAAACTTTAAAAAGTGAGGGCAGATCACAGCCCTAGCAGGTCCGTTTTAATTCGTGATGCTGACAGTGGAGGTACCAGGAAAAGCATAAAGAGAGGGACCTGGGGAATCAAGTGCATTTAAAGATGGTGGGTTTAAGCAGCTTGCTGTTATCTCAAGCAGTCTTAGGGGGCAGGAATAACCAAGCTCAAGGAGAGAAGGATTATCTGTTTACCTGCACAGATCACTCCAAAGCCTGAATGGAACTGACTTAACTGAATATTGGCATGGCCAAATATACTCTGAGGGATGTATTCCCCTCTGGAAGCTATTCTTAATGTCCATCACTTAATCGATCGATGGGTATGTCACCAAACGATCAAAATGCAGAGGCCCAACAGAGCTAAGTCCACTTTAACAATATGAAAGGAACCCCCCCCGCTGCATAACTTATTCAAGCTACAGTTCTCTGCCCCCATGGGAGCTGGACTGGGAAAAGTGGAGTTCAACCAAGGGAGGGCTTGAGATGAAAAGAACTCCAGAAGAGAGAAAAGCAGGCTTGGACTAATTCAGGAGAAAGAATTCAGCGTCCTGAAAATCAGGCTTCCACGGGGAACATTTTGTTCAGGTTCTGCTTCTTAGGCACGTGGGTGAAATGGTTTCTGCTTTCCAAGACAACTATTTGGAACACCTTAAAAAAAATGCACAGTGTCTTTAACTGCCCCCGGATCCCTATAAGCTAATGGCCGGAACACAAAGCTCAAGAAAAAGTTAGAGGGCCTGGGAACATAAAAATGCAGAGTACTTTTACGGGTCATCACGTTATGGCTTCTGCACGGAAGCCACAGCTTCTGGCCAACGCGGACGATGTGCTGCTCTTACCGTCTGGAATGTGAACGATGACCCAGTTCTGCCTTGCGCAATAATGGACGGCGTGACAGAGAACCATGGTTTTTCCTGTACTTTTCTCCCCATCTTCAAGAACAAGCTGTTAAGGAAACCATGGCTGTACCCATCATCTGTACTGTGGGAGAATGTGCACGCCTCTTTTCCTCCTGTGGGCTGAAATACGTTTTGCATGAGAGTCTCATCTGTGGCTTTTTCCTGATTCCCAAGGTCATCCCCACATACCATTAAGAGGGCAGAGTGAAGAGGGAATGTAATATTATCTGTGGTGTGTGCACAGATAAGTCTCTTTTCTATGATGAATGGCAAGGAAAGCTGAGTCCTCCATCCAAAATCATGGCTATAGGATCGCAGGTCTTTAGAACTGGAAGGGATCCTGGAGACCACTCAGTCTAACTGCTTTATCATGAGGACAAGAAACTTGCCTTATTCATTTAGTGAAAGAACAGCAACAAGATACATAGTAGGGTCACAGCTCTATTTCAAAGGATACAGATGAGATAGCGGATGGCCGGGTGAGCAAAGTTGGTCTGTTTTAAGTAGCTGAGGAGTTCTACAGCTGGCTGTCGAATCATGATGCAGGTTTCGTTGAAGGTTTTCATCTGTCGGGAAAAGAGAAAACAGAAGGTCAAGCCCTTCAGAAAGATCATTTCAGCAAGGTAAAGGTAAAGTTTTGGCTCAAGGGAGGAATAGCTAACCCTTGATGGCCCAGCACAGGGTTAATGGTATGCCCAAGCTGTAAAATTTAGAAAGGAAGGGACGTCACCTGCATCTTGAAGCGGGGTGGTAGCCCATGAGGGAAAATCTCCTTCACCTCTTCTGGAGAGATGCTGTAATAGTGACCTACATGCTCTTCACTATGCTTGGCCTGCAGGATTGAAAGAAGGACACGTGAGGCTGAAATCAGTCCACGTTGCTCATCAAGCCCAACTGTTTTCTGGTCCTTTTGTTTTGGAAACTACAACAAAATCCCAGGAGCTGGGAGAACTGCATGAAGGAATTACGAATGGCTGGAATGTGTTGCTGCAAGAAGAAGACATCTTGTCATTTTTCCACAGGGTAGGGGTATCTAGAGAGCTTTGGATATGAGCAACTAAGCCTTCATCCAATTATTCTTCCTGTCTTGGGGTACAACAAAATGTGGGACTGAGAATGCCTTTAGCCCAGCGGGCTAAGATTTCTGGGAGTTGCCTCTCGATGCACTGGCAATCTCGAGCTGAGAAAAATAGGTTTAAATCCCTTTCCAGCATCAGCTTTGGGTGCCTATATCCACATTGGGTTCATTTGTTCCAAGCAACATGCAAGATCAGTTGCCTGGCAACAGATAGACTCTGGATGGCAGAGGCTGCCCCTGTGCTTCTGCAGATGCTGGGAGGGTGTGTGTGTGCGCGTGTGTTACGCGACAGGGTCTGCCTGCCTGTTGCGGTTTCCATGGAGACCCCCAGAAGATTCAGCAAGGGGGGGAAAAAACTCCCAATGGCAGAGGCGGCTATAAAACCTCCCAAGGACAGTTTTGCCCGCCACATTCCGTGTGGCCGTGGCTCACATTGTAAAAATGAAGGTGACTGAAGACACCTTCTCCCCTACAGAAACACACCTAAGGGGAGCTCCTGATTTTTAGGACATGTTCCCTTTTCACAGCAGGGCTGTTTGATTATTTTCACAGCCACACAAGGGACCTTGGGTGTGAATGGCTGTTAGGTACCCCACGGTCTTACTTTCAAAAAATCTGCATCAAAAAGCTGCACGTTGGCAACTCACAGGACATCTCAAGCATGTTTGGCTCTTTATATAAAGAAGTAACTTAATTCCAGATTTTTTTAGGGGGTGCTTGCAGCTTTGTTATAGGTGATCTCCCAGGCAAACCCTCTGGAGGCTGTGGGTCAGCCCCACAAGGCAGCCCAGAACCAAAAATCAACTCCACAAGAAGACTAGAAGTCTACTTTCTTGGTAGGGTATAATAATAGATTTGGACACATGAAGACCCAGCTCTCTGGAGAAGGCTCTAATGCTAGGAAAGGTGGAAGGAAAGAGAAGAAGAGGATAATCAGCAGCAAGGGGATGGACTCAGTTACAGGGGCGATGGGGGCGCCAATGGGAGACTTGAAAGAACAGGTTAGGGGTAGATTATCATGGAGAAAATCTATCTATGCGGTCGCTAGGAGTCGAAAACGACTTGATGGCACATAACCAAAAAAATAATAACAATCTTGCAAGTCTTTGTGTGTTTCCTGATCTGGTTTACCCCAAAGGGATGACATCCCCACCCCAGCAATCCAAGTTAAGAAGATGCTGGAGAAAAGGCTAAGCAATGAAGCATACGGTTGCTTACATGCGTTCTAAAAAGATTGCCGGATTACATCAGATCCTTCAGTACAAATACAACTCAGTCTGGGTAAGGCAGTCAGCTTCCCAAATTAACATGGGCCTAGTCAAACTATAAATATTCTCCTTTGCTTGGCTCCAACCCTTGCCGGAGTCCACAAACCATTTGAAACACCCCTTCCAAGCTTCCACACCTCCTAATGTTAACTCACTGGGTCACTCTCACTGGTGAGGAAGATGTTTCTGAGCTTTTCTGGCTGAAGCTGGGCATTCTGGGTTGTCATTGTCCTGTGCCAGGTTCTGGGATAGAGAAAGCCGTCCTGTTCCAGCTATGGAGAGAAATAGCCTTGCGTGAGTGAGAAGACTGAATTCTCCCTTAGTAAAGAGTGGTTCTCACTGAAGATCTCTTTGCCTTTCAAAATGACAGCTATAACAGGAAAAGTGAGCTGCTAGTTCTTTAAAAAAATAAAATGGCCTATTTAAAAACAAAGGAGTAGTTGGGTTTGCTTTGCCTGAAGAAGAAAAGATCAAAGGGAGGTAACAGAATAGCCTTAAAATGTGAGAAGGATTGCCATGCAGAGGTTGGGACAAACTTATTCTCTACAGTGGTTCTCAACCTCAGCAACTTTAAGATGTGTGGATTGTTTCTTTTGGCCAGCAGATAGCAGCTCTTGAAGATATAAAATCTTCCCCCAATAGATAGGCAATTTGTTCTCCTTCCTTAAAGCAGTGTTTCTCAACTCCGACAACTTTAAGATGTGTGGACTTCAACTCAGAATTCTGCATTTCCAGACTCTGCATTAGAGCAGGAGTTTCCTTAAGGTAACAGCTGTTTCACAGAGAGTACAGGTTAGATTTCCCCCCTCTGGTGGCATTCAAATAGAGCAGAAAGAGTTTTTTCCCCCCAAATGAAGGTTACATTATCTCAGAAGTTGTCTAATATGGGTGGGTCCAGAGCTACCAGTGGACAGGTCCACCTTTTTTTCCTCCCTGCACCCCATCCTATTCTTCAGGGGAGGAGACAGATTACTTTTGCTGGAAGGAAAATCTCATACAGCTGCCAAGGATGGGGCCAACATTCCAAACAAAAGCAAGCAGACTCTGAAACCAAAAACCCATAAGGTGGAGCTGTTTTTACAGGGGATCTCCATTCCTCATTAGCCACCTGATTTAGGTAGCCACTCACAAGAAACCAAGATTTCCTGTTTTTCCAGCTGTAGAACAGCTAAAAGAACTGCATGATTGTGATCCCTTTCAGCCAGAATATACCCCCTCCCCAAAAGCCATTCCCTGTGCCAAGATCAGAGATAGGTGGGTGAACTCACCTTGCATCCCTGAAGGATGAGTTTTCTCAAACTCCTCAACATTGTCCCTGCCAATAAGAACAGCAGTTATTTTGAACAAAAGGTAGCAAAACATTTATTTTAGGCAGCATTTCACTTTTTAATCTTCTGAAAGCCAAGTACTGACAGGCTATTAGATAACTCCCTTGAAGGCCTAAGTGAAAAAGTCAGTGTCCATGTCTACTAGAGACCAGCAAACGACCTTTAGAAAACATGTAAGAAACAAAAGTTGTCTTCCTTCATTGCCTTTCATCATCACAAAATATACAATGGGTTTTCCAAGAAAATTCTGCACTGCTCCCATTCAACCATGCCTTTTCCAAGCAGCTTAACTCTCAGTTTTCAGTGCTTTGCCTTCCAACCTCCAGCACTGAACATACTTGGTTCTTTTATTTATTTATCAATTTATTTATGTATTTATATTTATTAAATTTATATGATGCCCATCTCCCCCAGAGGGTGACTCCGGGGGGCTTCTTGCTGGATTGTTTAGTGCAGTTTTTTCCCTTCAAGTTTGTTTCTTCTGCAGTCTCCAAGGTTACCTTCCTCTTATGCGTGGGACTTTAGGAATCCACTCTTGGCTCTATTTTCATATATATTTTAAGAGTACATTTTAAATTCACTTTCTGTGGCAGGGAATTCCAAATTCTGATACACTTTCTAGCATCTGCTCACACAGCAAAAACAGAAAGAGAGAACCAAAGCATTTTTTTTTCAAATAAACTCAGTTCCAAGATTTTAGTTCTGAAGTTACTAACCTCTTGATGACTAGTTTTTTAGGTTATATAAATGTACCTATAATGGAAGAAATAAAACATGATTACTTGTTATAGCAGGATTATTTCTACAAAGAGCAAAAAATGATGGATTCAACCTGAGTGCAAACTTGCCAGAAGGAACTTTGACAATATGTTTTACATGTCTGTTTTGTCAAAGAGGTAGAGAGATTAAGTTTGCCCATTTTAAACACCCCACTAGTTTATAACCTCTATCTGGAACACTACAAACGTACTTAAACTTTATTATCTGAAGACAGATTAGAACATTTGCAATGTGTTATTGTAAATGCAACCATCAAAACCAGCAACTGCTGCATAGCTTCCAAGAACAAAACTTGCAACATTTAATGCAAGTTGGAGAACCACAAAACAGCCAGCCACATTTTAGCTTGGTGAGTTGTGTGAATCTGGCTTGTGGTTAGTTCATGGCTGAATGTATTGTGCAAGTTTCAGATAGCTGAGTAAACCCTGTCATGAATAGGTATGTTGTGTGAATAGAGTCCCAGTACAGACTTTTCCTGTTCCAACTGGGGAGTGCAACAGGAATAATGGAAACAATAGTTGACCATCAAGGATGCAAGTGAAAATGGTTTTGATTTATCTGTGGCTCAAGTGAGGCATTAACTTGATAATTGAATTCACTCATTTTCAGGGTTCACACAACATACTGGGTCATAAACTAACCAACTGGGTGAGATTCACACAACATGCTAAACCAGCTTAAACAATCCAAGGTGAAAACTAACCAAATTCAGCATATAGTATCATTGCAGCTACTCGCTCTAACACACAGCCAGGGTATTGTGCAAATCAAGTCAGCATGCCCAGGCTATTTTATTTTATTGATTGGTTATGTACATAACCCACGTTTCATTCAGGAGCTCAAGACACCACACAGTGTTCCCTCCTCCCCTTTTTCTCCGTAACATCATCCCTGTGAGGTTCTTTAGGCTGAAAAAAGGTGACTGATCCAAAGTCACCTGGTGAGCAGCCATAGCTGAGGATGGCCCTGCACCTGGGCAATCCACATTTTCATTGTTAAGGCTGTGTGAACACAGCCAACTAAAGACCCACCGTCGAAGCATCATGCCCTTCCTCCGAGAACTTCTGGGCAGAACACAGAAAGCTGTCCACTCTCCACTTCCTAGCTCCTACACCCAGCAGCCTGCCCCAATTTGGAGGACCCCAAATTGGGAAAGCCTGCCCAACAACCCTGCGAGGTAGGCTAGATCGACAGAATAGCAACTGGCTCAAGGACGAGACGTTGGTTGCTCGCGCGTTCGTATCTATACGTTATACGGAAAGACAGGACGGGTGGGCGGGGGTGTCTAGTTCTGTGGCCCCCAAACCTCCCGCCAACTGAGGAGAAACGCTGAGGAGAGACTGGGCTAAAAGCAAAACAGCTCCGAAGAAAGGACTGGCCGGCCCCGCCTTCCGCGAAAGACGAAAGAGGGCCCACAAAAAACGGGGGGGAAAGCCAACCGACGTGCTACTTCGCTGTTAAAGTCTAAATCTCGCAGTTCCCTCAGGAGCTTTCCGCCTTCCTGGGCGCCGCCATCTCAACCCGCCGCGCGCGAGAGACGAACGGCGTCTTCGCGTTCGACCGACGGGTCCTCCGAAGGGACAGAAGTCCTCCGTCCGGGCTCTTTCCC